CCTGAAGACGGTCGGTGACATGCACTTTGTGATCATGTATTGGCATGAGAACGTCTGTTTTCACCTAAATGAAAGTGGAAAAGCCACAACTGGAAAGTCAATCCAAGAGCAACTTGATTATGTAGATATTACAGCCGCTTTCAAAAAGAAATTGGCTAGACAGCTATCGCAAAATACCACTCATCTTGAAAGAGTCGATTGACAGCTGCTACTCATGTGATGGTTAGGTTTGCACATCACAAAGACCCAACGAGTGAGAAGCCTTGCTTCCTCGACGTCCTACCATACGGGGAAATTCGGTTAGATAGTGGTAGGGTGAAAAGCAGTTACTGTTACAGTGTAAATTATTGCCCTATGATAGGTCCACGGGAGACGTCGCACTGCTAGCTAGACGAGGATGTGACAGCAGTAAGATGTTTTCCGCAAATAACCACCAACGCCAACAACAGGGACTTCTGAACGCTTTGAGCGGAAATATGTGTATTTTAGCTTGCGTTTTGCACCTATCAAATGTAAAATGATGCTTTATTACCGGACTGCATCAACTCTCATTTAGAGTGGGGAGTGAAGTGACACTTCACTTGTTTAGAAAGCTGAATCAGCCCGAAAGAGTTAGTTACTTATGAAATCCTAACTCCAATGCCGTTTAGCATTTGTTAACTTGAGTCATCTCTGATGCCAACTGGCGAGATGACCCGATCGGTCCTGTTATACTGCTGATACATGGCCGTTAGAAGCAGAAGACACGCAATGCCTACAAGCTTTTGATCACAGATATCTTCGTAGCATTGCTCACGTTTGGTGAAATTGCCGTGAGCAATGTTGAACTTAGGCGAAGGGTACTAGACAAGAAAGGCAAGCCAATTAATGAGGTTGTGAACCTTCACCAACTGAGGTGGCTTGGACATGGGTTTCGGATGCCAAACCACTACCTACCTCGATGTGCGATTCTAGTAGAGGCTGGATTAGGTTGAAAGAGGGTTCCGGGTGATCAAGACCAAGACGTGGTACCGGACCATCGAGATCCTGACTGTTGGTCTGAATTGCGTGAGGAGATGTAGACTACCTGCCCTAGACAATAGGAATCAGTGATTGGGGATTCTTGGTGACGGTTGAAAATCAGTCACAATGGAGCAGATATATTCACTCTTAGGTGCCTTCTAAAGCTCGATCATTCTAAAACTGTTTATTCTATCACCCAAGTTTATCTTTTTCGATATCAGTATTTTCCTATTCAGTTGTTCTTTGTATACTGCTGTGAAGTATCGCAACGTGAACCTATGCACATGTGTGTGAGGTCCTACATTAGTTTTATCTGTCTGTTATTATGTGATGCCTAAGTAAGGGTTAAGAACAGAAAGTCCGGAATGAAAGGTTTTAGATCTGATAGTCGATGTATCAACCAAACCTTAACCGTCTGCCATGCCTCGGAACACAGGAACACTCACATGCACTCCAAACAAGCTGTATTCCTTGACCTGAAGATACCATTTGACTTTTTCAATCGACGTCTTGTGGCAATGTGTAGTACTGAAACGGTTCTCAAACACGTATAGGTGTAGCAGTTTAAATGAAGTACTAGGTGAGTTGTATATGTCGTAGTGTTTGCCAAGAATGTCCACTTTCTACACTTTTACTCAGAGTTATTACAAATATACTAGAGGTCTTATCCCCATTTGATCTTACAGGGATTGGACTCGTTGCAAGACTCCATAATAAACACAGTACACAGATGATAGTCCTCTTAGGTAAAGAGGTTGAGACTTTAAGTGGCAACTCGAGGACGTTTAGAATGCGTTTTTAACCACCCAAATGGAAATTATTGCTTCAGAGTTGGTTTATGTTGATACTTCGTATGACAACAGCATGAAAGTCAACCTAGAGCATTCACCACTTCACTTGCTTAGAAAGATCAGCCCGATTTGTCACTGACCAACAAAATCTCCGCAGGGATACTAAACACTTGACTAGTTTCTGCCAACCAACTCCAAATGAGACACCGTCGTGACAACCGGTTTCTTACTAAGGACAGTAGTCCGCTCTGTTCTACTATACGGCTGTGAAACATCGCCAAGATGGGGGAGGGATGAGGAGGCATGGAATGTTTGAATACAATTGCCTTCGCAGCAAAGACCGCGTTGCCGTGCCACTACGTCAGTAATGCGAAAATCAGGTCGATAGTTTTAGGTAGGAGTTACGTTAGTTGATGTGGTGGACGTTTATTGACTCGTAGGGCTGGGACATGTATTACGCATGTCTGGCCTTCGTCTACCTGCATAGTGCGATTTTACCGAAATTCAGACCAGAGACGATCAGAAGAAAACATTGTATATGTGTATAGACCATGTAGGAAAACAGAAATGATCCAGATCAACGATAACTAGAATAAGGCATCTAAGCGAACATCAAATTTAACAATTAGATCCTCTTCAGGCTTCATCCTAGTATATATTTATTGGTGTATAATATATACATTGTACACAAATATATATGCGTGTATATAATTAATCATGTAGACTTGTCGGCTGATGGCATGTTTTGAAATAACGACGATGATCACAATAAAAATCATAACGTCGAATGAACTAGTTGTAATGTAGTTAAAATGATGATAAGAACTAAGAAAACAGCACGAAAGTGTAGACACTCCGATAATCAAAGCGGGTCAAAAGCCTGGACACACAAAAGTCACGTAATACTGAAGGATGAAGTAGGTGGATTAACAAAGTCTAAACAAATATGGTAAGTATATGAATGGGATGAAAAATAAGAAAGGGTTAAAATAAATTTCAATGGTAAAGTTGTTTATATAGTTAGGATGGATAGTGGCTAAGAGTGGGATCCAGGATGCGCAAGCAATAAAGAAAAATTTGTTTATTAAGTATTCCATGACCAAAGTAGAAATTAGGGACGTACAAACTTCTGGATACAAATATTAAAAATCGTAGCCCGAATGTAAAAGACCATTTCGAAAGATTAGGTGATATGCGGTGAATAATCTTGAAAGCATTGTTCATTTCCAACAAGTGACCAACATCAACAAGATCAGATAAAACAGAACTTGTGATGAATTTACTTGTCCCTTTCCCAACCATGAAGGTAGACGCTCAGTAGCATGTCTGTCAAGTTGTCTAGTAGTTCGCCCTATATATCTTCCTCTACAGGAACAGCTAAACTTCTGAATACATATAGGAATGGCAAAACTAGGTAACTTATCTCTTGTCTGAGCAACAACAACTGGTCAGCTGTGAAATGATAGACAGAGTTGCACAGCGTAGAAAATCCTTCTAATGGCTCTAGAGAACCTCCGATATAAACCTTCTCTGGCTACATCACTAGATTCAGACTTCATGCACAACGGTTTCTTTAGAACGATGATAATTCCAGTTATACTTCCTCTCCCTTTGTCTGTCTTTTTATGTAACAGTTAGGATCGGACTCCCTCTAAGTCCAGACATGCAGTTGCAAAGTGGCTAGTAAGGATGTTAGATCCCTTACACAACAAATTAGCTAACCAAAGTTTAAAAGACGTCTTCGAATTTATTTCTAAGCTAAGAAGTCTGAGTGTAAACAGAAAACATATGATGTTACTTGATGTCTCCACACCATTCATGTGCCGTTAAGGGAGATGGTAGAGTTCATGTGTCAACAAATATCGGAAAGGCAAATCAATATCGGGATTCCAGTAGACATCCTCAAGGAGTGGCTTCTTAGATGTACTATGTACATTTTATCTTCAATACCACTTACAAACAGATTGATGGGAAAACCACAGGTTCACAACTTGGCCTGATTTTAGCTGACATACTACTTGCCAAACTACAGAACGGAGTACTGAAAAGTGCCGATGATGAGATGAACATGTATCACTGTTATGTTGATGACAATTATCCTGGATTAGAATGTGGATAGAAACGAGGTGTTAAGAAACCCTCATGAAGTACACTTTTCTCACTTTTACTTATGAAGTAGAAAATGCGAGTAAACTACACTTCTTGGCTCTTTTGCTAAGCAAAAGAGAAGATGATTCACTCAACAGATGTGTTTACAGGAAGACCATACTTATGTCAGTACACACATTTTCCTAGCCAGGTACCTATTCAGTACGTAGCAAACCCGGCTAAATGATTCACTAGCAGAGCGAGAAAATCATGTTCGGATGATTGAATGCATAAGGAGTTAGAATGTATTCGCAACTCATTGTTTGAAATGGGCTATCCTGTTTCATAAAAAGACAGACAAAGGGAGAGGAAGTATAACTGGAATTATCATCGTTCTAAAGAAACCGTTGTGCATGAAGTCTGAATCTAGTGATGTAGCCAGAGAAGGTTTATATCGGAGGTTCTCTAGAGCCATTAGAAGGATTTTCTACGCTGTGCAACTCTGTCTATCATTTCACAGCTGACCAGTTGTTGTTGCTCAGACAAGAGATAAGTTACCTAGTTTTGCCATTCCTATATGTATTCAGAAGTTTAGCTGTTCCTGTAGAGGAAGATATATAGGGCGAACTACTAGACAACTTGACAGACATGCTACTGAGCGTCTACCTTCATGGTTGGGAAAGGGACAAGTAAATTCATCACAAGTTCTGCTTTGTCTTACGGCCACAGGTTTTGATATCAAGTCAGATGTAGTGAACATGATGCTAAACGTTCAGTCGGATCTGGAGGCATCCTCAAGTTTCGGGTCACACTGTAGTGGTTGTACAACTCGGAGCTGGATATAAAGCAGAACGAATAGCCTTGTAACATCGGGCGTCACAGAGAAAATTTTTCAACGCCACATGTTCATCACTTCATTCAATCTAGCGTATCCTAGTGTAAGTGGCCCAGAATTGCCCTATTTACTCGACGCAAATGTTGACTGTATGAGTCTAAAACTTTTGAGATGGTGAGAGTCTATTCACACCTAGAACTCCCAAAACTAAAAATAATTCAAACATCCTAAGTGATCTTTACACAAATGGACAGAAAAAACCTTCCAAACAATAATCAACGTACGTAAATACGAATTTGCGCGGAAGAGATTCAAGTGGTTATTAACGAAATAAAAGAAGCTCACACTTAACTGGATTCCGCGTCTATACTTCATGAATCACTAGTTCTTGTGATTGTTACCTTGTTCGCACGTTAAGAAAGAGCAAACCACGGTGGTTAAAGTTTGAAAACCCACTCAAATGATTCAAATGGTTGTTGACGGAATAGAAGCTTTCGCTTAACTGGCTTCCGCGTCTACAGTCCGTGGATCACTACTCCTTTTGGTTGGTAACCTCTTGTACAAGTAAAGAAAGGTGAAAAAGTGGCAATTAAAATGCGAAAATTCACTTGGTTCTGGGCAGATCCCAGACACATCACGTGGGTATCCAGTTGGCGTTCAAAAGATTCAGACGAAAGAGCCTGGACCACATCCTCAGGAAGAGTGTTCCAGGGTTTAACAACTCTTAGGGAATAGAATTTGTGCCTGACATCCAGCCTGCTATGTTCCAGGCTTAGTTTCTGTGCATGTCCTCTAACATTAACGTTGCAGGTAAGATTTAATAAGTGTCGGAGTGGGTGGCCAGGCGTACTCAGAATGTTGTAAGTCATTATCAAGTCACCTCTTAACCTTCTGCATTCCAGAGGATTCAGATCCAACGCAACCAGCAGTTTTTCTTATGTTTTGGACCTAAGTCCTCGAACAGATCTTGTCGAACGCCTCTGGATGCGTTCCAAGCTTAGTTTGTCCTTCTGGAGATAAGGAGGAAGACGATGGTCCCAAACTCCAGGTGAGGATGTATGAAGCTGTTGAAAATTTGGTGGAAACAACTACGATGGAACTGCCCGAAAATTAGCCCAAGAGTTACTAACGCCAAGTTCCCACGAAGTGAGTTCCTATCACAGTTGGCATAGGACTTTAGGTCTTGGGGGGCTAACACACCCAAATCCTTCTCCGTCAGTGACGCTTTAAGTTCCGTGCTGTTGAGGCTATGCAAATGAGATGTATCATGCTTTACGTGTATTACCTTGCATTTCTCAGGACTAAATGCAAGCCTGTTTTGACTGCCTAGTTGTGAAGTCGGTTCAAGTCTTCCTGTAGAGAAACAGTCTTCTTCGCTTTTGATTTCCCTCCAGAGTTTCACGTCATCGGCGAAAAGAAGGATTTTGGAAGAAACCTGTTGAGGCAAGTCGTTTACGTATATTAGAAAAAGGAGAGGACATAGTACCGAACGTTGAGGAACACAATTAGGACATTCCGTTTCTTCAGACACAGAGGGACTCACCCGAACCCTAAATGAACGGCCCCGTAGATATGACAACAACCAGTCAGTGAGCGGAGGTCGAATCCCAATTGATTTTAGTTTATCGATATAACAGCCGTGATTAACACGATCAAACGTCTTAGCAAAGTCAAGGTAGATAACGTCAATTTTTCCTCGACGGTCAACAATGCTAGTCCATCTATCTATTGCAGTGAGCTAATTGGTAATGCAGGAGTACCCCTTTCGAAATCCATGTTGTTGGGGTGCAATGAAATTCATTTTGTGAGGTAATCCCCCAGTCCATCGTATATCAACTATTCCATTACTTTGGAAGGAATAGATAGAAGTGTCACCGGTCTTTACTTTTTTGGATTGCTCCGTTGACCCCCTTTGAAGATTGGCGTTATGTGGCCGAGCTTCCAAGAGCCAGGTACTGTCCCCTGACTCAGAGAACTCGTAAATAACTTACATAAGGGTTCGGACAAGTTGAGGCTTCCTCTTGCAGTACCACCGGATGCATTTTATCTGGTCCCGGAGAGGTGTCTCTGGTGAGCAGTAGCAGTTTGAGCTGTACTAGCTAAACGCTTAGGTCGACCACTAAGAGTCCTACTTCATTAATGGGACATTTGTAAGCTCCTGAGTAGGTGGACGATGACGAAAAGATTTGCAGATACTGGTCGGCCAGTCGGCCGTGAACAGATCCCACCTACACCTTACGTAGAAATCAAGATGAAGTAGCCCGTATCACTTTCGCCGGACGATCATTGCAGAATTTTGAAACCCCTGGGGAATAACAGTAGTGCCTGATATCCAACCTGCTACCTTCTAGGCTTAGCTTATATGTCTGTCCTCTAAGATTCGTGCTGTCGCTGAAATTCAGCAAGTGACGGAGTAGGTATTCAAGAGCGTAAAGGAAACTATCAGCCATTACCAAGTCCCCACTTGGTTTTTCTATTCCTTGTTCTGATTAGTCAATGCAATATCACTTTCTAGTCCTGTAAACTACTTGTTTTCGTCCTTGCATCGTATAGACGTATTTGCGTAACACTCGGCCCTTACGAAAGTCGTATAAAATGTAGTTTTGATCAGATGTTGTATCGGTAAACCTGGTTGCAGAAATCAGTCGACTTGAGAGGTGTCAAAGTTTACGAAAGTGGAATGAGCGTGAAGTGTGCACCAATGTATTGCAAGAGGCAAGTGAATTGTTGAACTAAAGAACTCATCATTTGATGTTAGGGGAAAGTAACCGTCTGTATTATATTCGTAACTGCCACGTAACCAGAGACAAAAACAACATAGATGCAGCCTACAAGTACCATTATGTCCTCCTTCTTGGCATTGTTGGTCAATTGAAGAAGTCACAAAGCAGCTGCTAGGGAAGACAACATTAAGTACTGTAATAATGAACACCACACTTGCATTACAGATCTAAGTTCTTGAGGCATCCTACCACCCTCCAGATTAAATTGAGCTGCGGTCAATATGAAGTTGTTGAGCCTGTTAGCACCACTCAAAATAAAAAAAATTGTCGAAAGAGCTGCTAAGGTCTGTGGAGCTTTTGGTTGAAAGACCCAACGATGAGCAGCAAAGGAAAATTTCGCTGCTAACTTGGCAGAACGCATTCCCAGCCTGAATTATAAGTACGGTTAGCGTTAAGTTTGGGAAGCTCATCGCACACGCTACTACTTCAAATAGTTTCTGTGAACCCTTCTTAACACTAAATTAGTTCTTTTGAGATGAAATAAGGCATTCTACAAGATGTTTACGAGACCACGATAGTACACCTGCTGAACGGAGCCCTCAAACTTTGATTGGCATTTTCATTCAGTGGTACAATTAGGCACGGTTATCTCACTTTTCCATTTTAATTCAAATAAGCGTCGGCGCTGTTTTGTTTAGTCCATCTTATCGGTTTTTGACCTGGGGAGTTGACCATTATCAAACAATATGGTTGTTCACATATCTTTTGCCTCTAATGTTTCAACTCTCACGGAGAGGGTAGGTTATGAAGCTGTGTCGAGAGAATTGCCCACAGCCACCTCAAATGACTATTTCAAATGAATCCTCAGCAAGTTCTGGAGGGCAGATGGCTTGTCGTCAGCATACACATGTGGCAGTTCAGCTTTTGCTTCTTGCATCCCTTGCTCGTGCAATCCTTGTATCTGCCACACCATTGTAACGATCAGCTGTTGATGGGTTTTCGCGTAGCCTGTAGATTGGTATGTTTTCGCAGGGGCACGCGTACAGGATTGGGCTCAGCTATGGCCACGAGACTGGTGGAAAAGAGAGGGAGGGGTAACTCAGCGAGTACAACCTCCCCATATTATTACCAGTAACACTTACTTTCCACGGGAACTTTTCACTCCTTTCCTCATTATTTGTTCACCCCATTTTCTGCGCTGCTTCCTAAGTGACACTTCATAATTTCTCACAGGGGCTTACAAAAAACAGGAATTCAGAAGGGTTAAGTGATCTCATCAGCAGAGCCGTTGCTCCCCCAAACAAACCAACCTATAATTAGCAAATGAAAACCTTGAAATAGACTATCACTGCCTCCACAGTTGTAAACAGGTAAACTGTAAAGGCTTCTGAGATTACCGATGGGGTGAGACTGAAGGAAAAGGACCAATCGTCAAGATCTAGAAATTAGAGTTCAAAAGTTATCGGTTCTCTCTATTCATACCATTGGCACTAGATGCCGGGTACGTAAAGGTAGGGTTGTGCATTGCCATTTATTATCTTTGGTGACGCAGTTAGATTAAAATTAGACAGCTCTTATCCGGCGGAAACCATCATCTTGTCGATTTTTTGTTCCGCCGCATGTTCCACCGTCCAGATACAACTTGCTGGCGTTGGATTTCAGGGTAATTCGCAAATAAGTGTGGGACCGAGAAGTATCCTTGCTACAACAGCTATACTGGAGATCAATGAATCATCCTTACTTTGCGAGACGTCAACGATTCAGATCCGTTTGCACAGTACAAATCCGCTTCAACACCAAGTGTTTTGGGTGCCTTATTCAGTCCTAATTTTCAAGAGGGAGAAGAGAGGTCGGTTTGATAGCCTAACTTTCTTTATGTGAGTGGCCTTCGTGGCCTGGCGTTATCAGGTATGCGCAGTATTTTATGTAAACATCTTGAGACCACTGTCCAAAACGTTTTGAGGAAAAAAGTGTTCATGAAGCCTCGGGAATACTTCAGCACATTTCCACCAGCCACTGCCATTTACACTCACTACGTTCTACGTTTTACTGACATTAATTTGGCACAAACGATTTTGTTGTTTGCGTGGAGTTTTTCGATGCTGTGCTTTCAATTTCTCCTTTATGATTGCTCCTTTTTGTTAAATTTCAGTGTTACACATACTTTTCATTGTCAGAGGAATATATTTTGCTCGGGCTCCTTACGGCTTTTCGTTATCTCATTTACGTTGGAGAAGCGGAAGCACTTCTGAATACCATCGTCCAGCAACTAGCATCCGAAGTGCAAGTCAATATGTGGGACAGTGATGGTGAAACAGCATACGTTGACGCACAGGTAGTTGGGCGAAACCGTTGAGGGTGTCCCCTCAGCAGACTGGGTGTCGGGTGAGGAGACTACTTACACGGTATATAAATTGCGATTTAGGAAGTCCCGCACATCTTCAGGTCCTTGAATCCTGGGAGCTGGCAGACCTAGTCTGAAAATTACCCGCCGTAGGACCAAGTCAGTTTCCAATGAAAGAAAATGAGGTGCAGTGGTGCTAAAACCAAATAACAAACTTTACTAATCCCATGTCTCGCTCAGCCCAGCGACTGAATTAATGGCGACAAAAGCTCGAAAGAGGATGAATCTCCGTTCT